CCGATTTGTTCTGCCCCTGCCCGTCCCCGGTGTGCGCGTGGGCTGGGAGCTGTGGCTGGACTCAGCCCGGGGGCCGGCGGGAGCAGGAGGCGGAGGAAGCGGGCGCCCAAATCCTGGCCTCGGGTGGAAAATTGGAATCTTCTCAGGCGGGAAAAATCCGCCCCTCTTGCAGTGCCCGGCCCTTAAGGAAAACAGCCCCAAAGTGAATCAGCCCCCAAAGCCCCCTCCCCGGGCTGCGAGGCGTGGCGGGGCAAGAGCGAGGCGGCCCCCAGGCTGTGTGTATTGCTTTGCACCCCCCCGATTAATTCATTCTGATTCCCTCCTCCTGCCACCCCCGCCCCGCTGAGAAGGGGGGTCCTTCCTTCGCTCCTAGGAGCGGCTTTCCTCTGAGTGGGTCCCGGCTGCCTTGCCGGGGGGGCCGCCGCAGCGTAACGCGGGGAGCCGAAGTGCATCTGCGAGGGGCGCACAAGGCTGTGCCAGGCGGGCTTCAGGCGATGGGAACAGCCTCCCGGGCAAAAGTGGCGCGTGTCACTGCGGATCCCAGGACGGTTTGGAAAGGCCGGGTGGGTCCCGCCTCCCCGCGGCGATTCCAAGCCCGGTGAGGTGCGAAGCACCCGAGCGAGCAGGCAGCAAAGCAGAAGCGGGCGGAAGCAAGCTCCGGGGGCATTGCTGTTATACTTCGATAGGGTGGGGCCTTTTCCCTTCTTTTATTCTCGTTATACTGTTGGGCAGTTGCCTCGCAAAACGTAGCCCCTCGCAGCAGTGTTACAATCGCATTGCATCTTCCCCAACAGCACCTGATGCTTTTCTGTTTCCCTCGGAATCACAGCGGCTCTGGCAAAATCCCAGTTCACCACCGCTAACTCGTGGGAGAAGTCTTTGCAAAGCTGCTGACTCCTGCCTGCCATCTCGATTTGTCCTTATCATTTGCCTTCATCTTAATCACCCCCATGTAAAGTCTGCAGGTGGAATAGGACCTGTTAGCTTAGCAAGGGCAGGGAAGCAAATTGCCTTTTTGATTTTTCAGAGTAAATATAGACTCTGCATCTGTGAAATCAGGTGCCTGTTTGTACTTCTTGTCTATATACAAGGAGCCAAAAGTCCAACAGGATATTACATGTGGTTTCCTCTGCTGCAGATTTCCCCTAGTTTGGCAGGTGAGCTGGAAGAGGATGCTACTAAAATCCTGATTCCCTACAGATTCCATCCCTATACTTTTCTTCCTTCTGAGGGACTGATTAATAACAAGGATGCAAGTTACATTTCCCGTAAGCTGCCTAATATTTCCCCGAAAGTGAAAGTCTGCAGCCAGGTAGAGTCGTGTCCAGGGCTCCCCCTGGGGAAGCCAGGCAAGGAAAAGGGCACAGAAGCAAAGGGCTTACGGGCTTCAGTGGGAACTTGAGGTCCCTGCTCCTGTTGATGGGAACCGTATGAACAGCACAGCACGTGGATGCACTTTCCTGGAATATGTGACTTGTTGGTTCCCCAGTATTGGCAGCTGCGAGGGACCAGTAGTTCAGCCGTTACGGGAGATGGCAGCCATTCCCCTAACTAGTGGCTGAGGGTATGGAAAATAACTCACACCCTACCCCCTCCCCTCAAGCCTGAAACTGCACAAGTGTTGAGCCATAAGAGGACCGATTGTGGGGCAAATGCCTTTGCTAAGGAGGCAAATAAAGTTGGCAAGCCGGAGGCAAAAAAACTAGGGAGAAAGGACATGAGGTCAAAGTAATTTGAAATCAGGGATGGTGGTTATGCCTGGGAATTCCTCTTGGAAGGTAAAAAAGCCCCAACCCCCTTCTGTAATTATAATACCTCACACTTACAGAGCACTTTGCAGCAGCAGCTTGCAAAGCACTTCATAAAAGAGGCAAATGTACTATTTTACAAGTGGGGAAACCGAGGCACAGAGCAGTGCTGTGACTTGGCCCTGGTTAACCAGCAACAAAGTCAGAGATAGAACCTCGGACTCCTAGTGCTCTGTGCAGTAGACCACACTACCTAATAGGCAATTGGCTAGCTGAAAAAATAGGACTTTCATTGAATCATAGAGCTGGAAGAGACCTCATGAGGTCATCAAGTCCAGCCCCCTGTCCAAGGCAGGACCAATCCCAACTTTCTAACTAGAATTTTAAATACACTTCTCTCTTTC